ATTAATAAATCTATGATAATATTAATTCTATTTTCTATAAGTGCTTCGAAAAATAAACATGGAGAAACGAAGAGGTGAAAGTTTTTCTCCCTGACGAACGCCTCTACTAGCTTTATAGTAAAGCTGTGAAAAATTTCTTATAAATTTTGGATTATACCCATATAGAACAGCTTCTCAAACAGCTTTGAGCGTGAGATAGAATCAACGGCTTTGCTGAAGTCCTCAAAGATGACAAAAAAAGTGCTTTTTAGTAATTGAATGTTAATAACAAAAGTCAAAATAAAAATTGCATCATTACACCATCTTCCCTTTCAAACCCATTTGTTCTTCTGTGACACACGCAATAAAGGTACATCTATTGTCTAGGATTGCAAAAAGAACAAATTTTACACCACTTTTTCCAGTAAACAATACAGAATAATGTTACCCGTGCAATGAGTCAGAGCCAACTCGTAAAACATATTATCAAATTAACTTATCTATTTTATTAATAATGTTAAAATAATTTAAAGCGATTTTAAAATATTGTTTCCGAAATCAATGAAAATAGTATGCCGATTGATGACAAAGAAGATGAAAATATCATATGCATAAATGTCATCTAAATAAGTCATGAACTAGTAATACAAATAGTCAAAAAATTCCCTCTTCAGTAAACTGCATTCTTTCAAAAATTTTAAATAAGCCAGAACGTAAAACCGAACTAGTCATTCGTTGTGAGTACATGAAACACATCAGACAACTTGTATCTTTATAATTATTATACTGTTGTTCCCAGACGATGATTTGATAAATTAAAGAAATTTTCCGAAACTTCAACCCATTGAAATAGTAATTTTTTTTGTCTACAGTCCTAAATTAAAAAGAAAATAAATAATACGAAGGGTCAGCACTTTAACTTACTATATTATATTAGATAAATCAGTGTTATTGTCAGAAACTAAGGATCGTTCAAAAATGTTTTCTATTTATAATGTCATGTCCTATTTCGAGAGTGGACAACAAAGTTTTGCCGTAGTTAATGGTAAAAACAATGGTTGTCTGTTTACATACAGTGCAGCTAGTCTGAACTTATTAGGACCCAGCCCTGTACAGATGGCAGCAATTCGGATTACCTGTAAAACTGCCTTGATAGAGAAGCAAGCAGCAAATCAGGTCTGCCTTATTGAGAAATAAATATACAGACACACCGGATCAGGTGTAATTTGGTCTGCCCATTTTCGGTTTTTAGCCTGTCCTATACGTTTAGGCTTCTTGATGTACCAAAAGTATTATTTAAAACGCGTCTAACAGTCAAAATCAGTGATGATAGGAAAACGAAAGTGATCTGAAACCACTTAACTAGTAAACGCAATAATGTATGTTTTGTTAATAAAAACATTTCCACTTCGTCGATCCCAACTTGTTCAGAAAAGACGGACTTTCAGATTAGCTGTGTTCGGATTATCGGATTATTGTATACTCCACTGTAATAATATTATAACAATAACGTTATTAATAAGGATTATTTACAAAGTACTACAAAGAAAACATTTCTTACTTCGATACTAATCTGTCAGCACACTAAATGAAAACAAACAGAAAGAAGAAGAACATAACAAATAAATTCATTTTAAATAATAATTAAATTTTGGTACAACTAGATTGTTGTCATATAATCTCTTTTAAGTTAATACATAATAAATCCCAGTCTCTACCGTTTAGAGACTTGACTTCACTTTTTGTAAATATTTGATTCTGTATGGCCTTAAAAGAATATGGGAATTCTGTTATCCTTTTTTATCTTTAATTTCATTAAGGTTACATCATGAACAATGATGGCACTGTATCAGGTCTCAAAGGTCTTAAATTTAAATTCAGCTGGTCATTCCTTACTTACATTATTCTTTCAACTTCATTATACGGTCTGGTGTATAAATAATCAAAATTATAATCCAGTTTGGACTACATCCTACATTCGACCAATTTCTAGGTCTAATTTCTGCATGTTGATTTTCATCTAGTCTTATATTGAATTTCAGTTTATATTAATTTTGTTCCCAGGTTTTTACGAAATTTCTATTTGCATACATACTAATGTACTGGCCACACAGTTTTTTTCCATGATTTCAACCAAATGATATTTTTATTTATGATTTGTTTACATATGATTTTTGGAACCTTTATAATCAGGCCGTTTTAAGATTCTTAATATATTAAGATTCCTAAGATATAAATATAAACAACTATTCATTCATATCTTTACATTTAAAATATAACAAAGACTATTTTAATGAAGATACAAAAAATCACGGTACTTTCTCTACGTGGTCATATATTTGGATTCCTCGACCTGAGCATAGTAACAGGACTATATATGTGTAGTTTAACAAACGTTAAATGTCAATTTGAGAACAAATATACGTCTGGCTATTTTTACGCAAACGTGCAATTTGATCTCACATAATTTTCGATTTTAGAACAGTTGAACTTGTTAGAGTACCTAACTCTGTGACGCACTTTGCAACTTTATATCAAGACGCGAGCACAATAGATCTACTTAGGTGCGTGCACAAGGCCCTGTGGCCGCCTCTTTTATCCCTACATGAAAACTCAAAAGAGAGAGAGAGCGAGAGAGAGAGAGAGAGAGACAGAGAATGAATGAGAGGGTGAGAGAGGGAGAAAGTAGAAGAAGAAGGTAGAATAGATAAAAATAGAGATATAAAAAAAGAAAAAGGGAGCATGAAGCCGATGAAAAATTATCCAGAAAAAAATACGCATAAAAAAGATAGTTATATGAAGAGGTGAAGAATAAAAATATTGCCAGAGGGAGAAGAGGAGAGAATGATAGAGAGATAGTAACAGAAAATAGAAAGAGAAAAAATAGAAAAAGAGTGGAAGAGAAATCTAAAAAAGCGACACTTAAGGAGAGGCAAAATAGACATACGAAAAAGATATGGAATACCAAAAGATATAGCACAAAAGTTACTCAAGCAAAGAGACATAGAGAAAGAGGGTGGTAGAATGATAAAGTGACAAAGAGTGAATCAGAGTGTAAAGAAGAGAAAGAGTGAGTGAAATAAAGATGAAGAGACAGATAAAGCAAGAGTTTGTTAATGCAAATGCGTTCCTAATCCCATAATAAGCAAATTGAATAGACTAAAAAGGTTGCTTTAACTCAGCCAATGTAGTTTTTAAACATTTTTAAACACCCCTGAATTCCCAGCTTCAAAAACGTTTGACTACAAATCGACAATCAGTGACAAGTCAACGTGATTATTAATTTAATCCATATTTGCTTAGTGTATTCCAATAAGAATATGTGAATAAGATAAATAGAATCAGAAAGAGAGATAGATAGATAGATAGATAGATAGATAGAGAGAGTGAGAAAGAGAAAGAGAGAGAGAGAGAGAATGAATGAATATTGAAATATACTAATCTTATCATTTTGATGAACTCCTGATTGATTGACTGATTTTAAATCAGGAGAACATGAAGGGTTTTTAGAATAAAAATTCAAAATGTTAACTAGACTAGATGAAAAAAAAATGTTATCGGCGAAGCTTTCGATCATCATCAGGGCAAAACAATCTTAAAGATGTGTACAAATTGACATAATTGTTTACTAATAAAAGGTTTCAATTTTTTTAAAGATAGACTCAGTTCCAAGATTGCCAAGGGCTGCCTTTCAGTTGTTAAATGTATCGACCAATATTTTACTCATGAATAATCTGGATCGCGGGTACGGTCTGAATCAAAAAACAAATTAAATTGGTAGCTAGCTTTCGACCATTTAAGGTCGTCATCATTAGGGCAAAACAACACAGTTTCAGTGCTTGGCAATGTTGGTACTGGGTCTAACTTCAAAGAAATTTCAAATAATTTATTAAAAATTTAATTATGTTAATTTGTACATTCTTAAGATTGTTTTGTCCTGATAACGACCTTAAAAGGTCGAAAACTGGGAAAATTCAATTTATTTTTTCATCCAGACCGTACCTACATCCATATTATTCGTCAGTAAAAAACAGGTCGATATCTCACACTTTAAACAAAATGTTAACTACTTATCATTTTTTATACAACTTTACATGGACTACTTAGAATTTTGATAGAAATATTCATAACGTAAAACTTGTACAACTAATATTAATTACTGATGTCTCCTTGTTTTTTGTTGTGTTTTTATTTTCAACTTGTAGAAGGAAACATTGATGAACTAATCGACCATTTGTTTATAATTGTTTATGTTAAAACGTTCTCAAGACTTTGCTAAAGATGAGGCTGGCATTAACAAAAATAAACAGTTTTAAAAAATAGTTTATTAGTTCATCAATTCTTCATTCCACAAGTTAATTTAAGTTACTAAATAATTATTTCTTTATGTTTATGCAGTAAAGGCCAAAAATTGTTACTATTTATATATTTATTTTTATTAAAACACGCATGGGTAACAAAACATGAAAAAAAATTGTATAATTTCTATCAGCAGGTGGTGACAGAATTTCAAAAATCGCGATGAGCAAGTATTGGACAAACTTTAATTAATTGATTTTCATTTATTATATCGTTCAAATTTGAAAATTATTTGTATGAATACAATCCGTTGATACAAACAGGACCAATAGATTATATCTGTGTTGTGTATATGTTTATCATTAGTTATAAGAAGAAAAAAATAATACACAAGTTATTATGTAAGTCTTTCTTCCTTATTTTTGTTGATTCGATTCATTGTCTCTGATTTTTAATTTTTTTATTACATTAATCTATATATGTTTCGTGGTCATAATTGACCATATTAATTATTTCAATTAATTATTCTTTTTATCTAAGGTCTTGGTGGAGATGAAAAAGCGGGATTTTTTTATTGTAAACTAATTTTCGGAATAACAATTGACATTTGGTTTAAATCGTCGCAATGCGAGATGCATCAACCCTGTGACCGAAAGTAGCAAGTTAAGCCCAGTGATAAGGAAGAGGCTTGAATAAGGATGAAAACACGTTTCCACATTTACCTGGTGTCGTCGATGTCCTGGGCGTTTTTGGCGTTCCCGGTGCATCGTTGTCACCCTCAGTGATCTCCTCTTGCCACGACACCGTCCTCAACCTCGGCGGACGGAGTTGCACCTCTTTCCCCTGGGTTCCGTTCATGACTGGGCGGTTGAAACAGGTCCTCCCCCTTTTATAGATACTCGGGATACGCCTGACGTCACGGAGATTCGACCCGCCTCTACCGCACTGCCAGACGGGAATTCCCTACGTGCTCGGAAGGCAGCTAATCCAAATCTGCCATTGTTTATACGTTTCTGGCAGGACGCAAATGAAATAAAAGCTGAATTTATGGGTTTTTTTAAACTTACAAACCAACGAAACATGACGTCAACTCAACAGAAAACGTTGTCTCATACACATTCCGACAATGTTTTGTCTTTCGTTGCGTAAAACACCTCCACTGATTCATAAATCTATTCCAAAAGGAAAACCATTTTGCTCTAAATCTACTTCACCACAAAATTCCAAGGACTCAATCATTGATCGACTAATCTAGTTTAAGCACAAACTGATTCTCGGATGTTCGACTACTCGTGTTACAAACTTTCTAAGTAGATTCTACATTCAAAATGCAACCAAAATGTCCTAATTAATTATGTCCTAATCTCAGCGGTTTCGGAGTGATTCCACTTTTCTGATTTTTTAAGATTTAACGCCCTTGCTTCAAATAAACAATGATAACTCCAAAACTAAAAGGTTTTGGGCAAATCCGTTGATACCATTGGAAATTACGTTAAATTTCAAATGAGATGTGATTAATATTAAACTTGTAAACGATCGTGAAATAAGCGTTTTAGCAGCAAGAACTTTGAAAAATATATATATTTTTTTTACTATGGTGATTCTAAACTATTATTTCCAAACCTAGAGACTAGCAAATTTCAGAAAACGTATTCCATTTACTATCCTTTTTAGTGGTGTCATTTCTTTTTTAAATACTTTTCTCAAAGGTGAAGAAATTGATGGGGGTAAGGAAAAAACCGTGGCTGACAGATTGTAAGGTGGAACGATTAAAAAATATTTTTAAAAAAAGTTTAATAAATTCATTCAAAATTTCCTTAAGTTTTTACGTTTTTAGTCAATTGTTGAAATTATTTCTTCAAAAAATCCTTTATTGTCATTAGGTAGACTATTTAGATTCATACATCATCAAATTATAAACAAAACAGCTTGAAAATTTATATTCTTTTTCTGATGTTATATGTAGTCATTCTGGTCAAGTCGTTTAATAACAAAAGAGTTGGCGTTTTCATTTATAAAATTTTAATATCAGATTCATTTCACCGACCGTCTCACTCTTACATACACGGTAGAAGAAGTGAAAGAGTGATAGAGAAAAAAATAAAAGAAAGAAAGAGAGAGATAGAGAGAAAGTAATAAAAGAAAAAGACATAATATATAGAAAAAGAAAACGAGAGAATGAAGCAGATAAAAAATTAATTAAGGAAAATGATAGATGGACTAACGTGATTTTGGACTGTAAAGAAAACCAAGAGAGAATGAAAGCAAAATTATATATGAAAAAGATATGGAGAAAGAAAGAATCTCCTAAGAAAACCGATACGAAAACGGTGAAGAAGAGAAAGATTTTCATGAGAAGAGAAAGGGAGGAAGAGAGCAGTGAAAGAGAGAAAAACAAAGAAACAAGAAAGAGAAAGAGAGAGAGAAGAGAGAAAGTAAGAAGTAGTAACAGAAGAAAAAGAAACAAAATTATATAGGAAAAATATAAATGTAGATAGCAAACTAACGTGACTTCTTTGGACTGAAAGAAGGTCAAAAAGAGAATGAAGCGGAAGCAATGCAGAAGCAAAATTGTACAGAAGAAAAGATATGAAAAGAGCGAAAAAGAGAAAGAATGTCATAAGAAGAGAAAGAGAGAAAGAAAGAGATAGATAGTTAGATGGTGTGAGAGAGAGAGAGAGAGAGAGAGAGAGAGAATGGCGAGGAGAGAGGAGAGAAGAAAGAGAGAGAAGAGAGGAAAGAGAGATAGAGATAGATAGATAGATAGATAGATAGATAGATAGATAGAGATAGAGAGAGAGAGAGAGAGAGAGAGAGAGACAGAGAGAGACAGAGAGACAGACAGAGACAGACAAAGAATTCACGCTTGTGTGAGTGAACCAACTACAAAATACCGAATATCCATTCAATTATTGATCAATGAAACTAGCTTATCCTGGAATCTGCTGTTTATCAGTATATTTCTATTATATGTATATAAATCGCTCGTATTATATAATGAATAGAATAAAAATTCAAATTCTTCCTGTACATTTAATAGTCAATTTAGCCAAGCAGTGAAATAGATCTTTGCTGATAAGACGATTACATTTATGACATTTTCTAAGAAACAACACACATTATAAATTAACTAAAAAGACTGCATAAAACCTTCAAAATCACATATTCGCCAAGAAGAAAATCCACGCCTTTGAGCAAATCCACTCAACCAAAAATAATCATTTATTATTTAAATTATTAACCAATGAATTTATTATTCAACAATTTGTTTTGCATTATATTGCTGCATCATTTTATACTTAGTACATTTATATTATTATATTACTTTAGTTAACTGTTTTAACTTCTATGCCTATTTCACTCTCATAAGTTTAATAACTTTTTTCGACGGCTACATATTACAATATTTATTTATAAAGACACGTTTGTGGCAAGACGCTGAGAATTTATAGTAGCAAGAAAAGGTAGGATGGAACGATGGTTCTAATCTCGCTTTGTTCCAATGCTTTCCATAATTATCATCACCATCAAATCAATACGAACTTTAATTACAGAACATTAAATTTGGCAATTAGTTCAAATTAAAATGAGGAACAGTTGGTAGTAACAGCGTTCTTGTTTAGTCTTGTTTTTTAAATAAGTATCAATGTCGTTGGCGATTTTACCTTTGCAATCTATCGCAGCTCAACTCAAAATATAAATATTTAGGCACAAAAATCCCCTGAGGATAATATTTGTGGGAAGTATAATAACTGTAGAACTGAAAAAGTATGTAAATATGGTTGTAGATAAGCAAATTGTTCTTTTACCTAGTTTCCTTTTTAGTTCTACATTAAGAAAATCATTTGTCTTTAATCACAAATGTAACTGTATATTCCAAAACTCATTATCTGTTGTAGACCATGTGATAAAATGATTTATTTATATATATATATATATATTTTTTTTTTTTACAAACGTTAAATGTCAATTTGAGAACAAATATACGCCTGNAATGAGAGAGAGAGAGAGAGAGAGAGAGAGAGAGAGAGAGAGAGAAAGAGAAAAAGAAAGAGAAAGAGAGAGAGAGAGAGAGAGAGAGAGAGAGAGAGAAAGAGAAAGAGAAAAAGAAAGAGAAAGAGAAAGAGAGAGAGAGAGAGAGAGAGAGAGAGAGAGAGAATGAATGAATATCGAAATATACTAATCTTATCATTTTGATGAACTCCTGATTGATTGACTGATTTTAAATCAGGAGAACATGAACGATTTTTAGAATAAAAAGTCAAATATTTTCACTGTTTTCACCTTATTTTGTTTGATGCTATTGGAAATTTAAATTCTTTGCGGGTTGGCTGATGTATATTTGTCATTATTATCAACCGAACATTGAAATTTAATCGAGAAAAACTTGTGTTCACCATTTATTTTAATTTAACCCAGTTCCTTTGTGTGTATTAATAATCATTATAAAATGTTTGTCGTTGAAAAAAAAGTTCATTTTAAAATAACTATAGATATATTGAAAAATAAGACCTCAACTCGTTATTTCCTGCGGTAATTATTAATTTTTAATAATATTAAACTTCCCCAGTTACTTGAAACTAGTGGCAAACCCGTCATCTGAAATAGTTCAAAATATATTCCATATGTTCCCGTATGATTTTAAATAGACAATTTCCGTAGTTTATTCAAGTTTTCTCCTTTTTTTAATTTTTTTTTAGTTTACTCTCGCTATAAGTCAAGATGATGGATGATGAGGATGAGGATGTAACCGAGGATACTAAAGATGTTAAGAAGGTAAAAGAAGAAGAGGAGGAAGATTTAGGGCCAGATGGAAGCCAAGATCTACTCGTGCCAGATGAAGAGATCCAACAGGAATACGACCTAGTATGGGAAAAGGAAGAAGAAGGTGAAACTGGCGGAGGAACGGACGAAGACGAGAAAAGTGAACTGTCCGACGAATCTGAAGAACTTTCCGATAAATCAAGTAAGTTATTAGCATTGTAATTGCTTATTTTCAATGGAAATTCCGGTAAGCAAGTTATAAATTTACGTAATGTACTGATAACATCGAAGCCACAGTAATGACGATGCCATTAAGTTGCAAATGAAGACCAGTTATAAAAAAATTAATCCTTCGCTCAGTAAAAAGCTTAAAAGGCAATTTTAAATGATTATGAAAATGTTAAACGTTCTTCCTACCCTTCTGAATAGGATTAATATATTTTTATCTCGAACAAATATCTTTATTTATTTAACGGGGTATAATGTTTACTGTCACCGCCGACTTTGATAATTATTTACCAGTTGGCTTATGTTTGTTTTTCGCGTTCAGGTGAAAAGGAATCCATAGAAAGCGACACACATGTCACCACGTACCAACTGGCTCCCAATGTCCAGTTCGTCCCGACCCAAGTTCAAGAGATACTGGACTTCGCCGTACCACTGTATTTCAGCGGTATTAAGTACGACCCAGATCTCTGTGTCAAGATGTGCCGGAAGCTCTCCTCGTACGTCTTGAGGAAGGTGTACAGGCTTAGAATGGACAGGAGAAAAATAATCGTCATCGTCAGATGTCATGAGAAAAACTGGCAGTCTGAAAGAGCTATCTACAGGTCAGTCTATGCAATTTGAAACAAAAAGTTTCTTATAAAATGTATGTAAACACAAACATCTACTCTTTTTCAGATTTCTCTGGGATCAGCATTCAGACGGACACGCTAATTTCACCCTGGATCTTCAAGACATGATTATAAGCGCAATTGTTCTTGTTCTTTACGTGGACTAAACATGGTTAAAACCTGTGATCGAAAGGATGTCTTCTCCCTTACACACATTTTTACAACCTAAATATTAGCCTGTGAAAGTACGCGGTGTCTCTTTGATTTCCGGTGGACGTCCTTGTGTCATATTAAGTAAACGGTTTTTGAGTACTTTGTCCTCCTAAAAAAACAAAACTAAGTTGCACAATTCATTTCTTCAAATTTTTTCCTACATATAGTTTTTTTTTATTGTTTTAATTTTTGTAGGTTAAATACTACAAAGCACTGTCTACCAGTTACGGCTTATATTGAAATCTGTTTAAGTTTAAGCTAATTTAGATTTTAGCTGATTTTATTTTGTTAGCTTAGCATCATGCAGTAAGGCAGCTGGACAGTATTAAAAGTTGTGAAATGTCCACTGCTTCAAGGTTAGAATAATCAATTTGAAGAAAGTTGTTAAAAATAGTTGTAATCCAAAAGGACAATCAGGTTGCATTGCATACACTTCACCAACTCAAAATTCAAATTGCTTGTGTTAGAGCACATGTGAGCTTTTGTGTAATGAAAGGCAAACAAGCATCTCAAAAATGAGATCCTTCCAGTATCCTACTCAGCAGCACCCATAAGTTTCGTTAAAAGAAAATTGGCCGCCGATACTGTTTTAAAATGGACCCCTTCTAAATAAGGAACTCTTACGAAAGACTTCTTCCCAACTATATGAACGAAAAGTTGTCTTCCATTAATGTCACGGTAAAACAGCATAAGTCGTCTATCAGTCGATCATGGACAGAACGCAGAATAGACCAATACCTCCGCATATGTAATTTGTATGAGGAATGCTTAATAAATAAATAAAAAAATCAATATATCTTTCTCTCTTTCACTCACTCACTCTCTCTCTCTCTCTCTCTCTCTCTCTCTCTCTCTCTCTCTCTCTCCCTGACACTATTTATCTTCTTAACCCTTTTGATGTCCTCTAGCTCTTTTTTTTCGCGATCGCCATACATTTTTTCCTACTATTCCTTTTCTACATATCTAGTACTATATCTCACTTTTCCACATCATCTTTCGTTTAATCTTTTTACACTAGTTGAAACAGACGGTTAAGATGGTATTTCTTCGAGAATCTTATATTAACTACCTTCAGAATCCTTACTAGGGGTCTGTTATTTAATAGGGTCAAGGCACGCAGTGTAATAAACTCATAATTAGTCATAGGGAAATGTTATCGATTATTTCGCTATTTTTATCTCTTAGCGTAGAAGTAAATGGAAGATAAGCAACACCCTAATTAAAACCCGCTGAAAACGTTATGAAAAAAGGTTATCAAGCGTAGAAACCAGCCTGCGTAAAATTTGGACATTTAAATGTCACTTTAATTCGTGTTATGGTTATAGGTAATAAACTAAAGAAAAAGAGAGATCTGACGGCTCAGAAATGTTCAAGTATTATTTCGAATCATCTTCTTATTGATCACGGATTTTTCTGTAAAGCACACAAAATAATGCAATTTTTATAGTGTTTATTTTATATTATTTTTCCCAAAAAATTACCATCTTAAAAGCATTGCAATATGGGCACCCGAGTACAACTTACTCGCCTTTACCCTAGCTTTTCTTTAATATAACAATTGAAAAGTCAGTAAACCTGAATACTTTTACATAATATTAGATTGCATAAGATTTTATGCGGTGTCGAATATCCCCTCACCCACCTTCCTTTAAAACTTGGATTAGTGTCGAATTTCGTTTTTGAACGTACCCGTCGGTAAACGAACCCGTACAGAAGAAGCCAAAGAAGTTTAGGTTGTAATTTCACTCCGAAGGATTAAAAAGCGATGAAGATAATTTATTTAAATTAGATTATGAATTAATACTGTTCCATTAGCATATTATACTATATAATAATAGTTCTCAAATGTCAATATTAGGACAGCTTTTTAAGCCTCAAAAAAGTAAACCGTTTATTCCAAAATAAATCCAATATTTTTTTACCTACCCAAGACTTACATTATTACTATTTGGTTTGATTCCGCAGATGCTTATTAGTCAAAAGAATACTTGTCACAAGAAAAACAGGCTGGGAAGTTTAATTTTGACAGAAAAATATTCATACAATATAATTAATTATTCTTTATTAACTTTCCATAAGAGAAATGTGACTTCTTAGATTAAATTTCTAAAACAGAGAGTCTTTGCAAATAAAAACGACAAAGTTCTACTAAGAATATTTTTAAACAAACAAATCTGTTTAATTGCAAGTGTAAATAATCTAGTTTCTATATGCTGAAATTAAGATAAAAGTTAAATAAAATATGCCAAAATATAATATGGGAAATTTAAAAAACGTTTCTTTCTCGATATCCTCCCTGCTATATAATGAAAAGAGTATAAAAATGTATACACATAACTACAATATCAATAGTTATTAAAAAAATCAAATGTTGTAAAACCTTATTTTAAGTTAGTTTTGCACCTAGAATTCAAGGGATCTAGGTTCGGGAACCTAGGCGTTGTGGTGGTCATTTCATCCTCCCTTGAACAGAAGCAGTGTAGTCCGGGTTCCTCATGCCTTCAAAAGGGTGGACCCAGACTTCTTATAGAAGCTGAATGGCATCCTACCACCTAATCTCAAAACCGTACTTCTAATCGATTTCACAGGTACAGCGATAGCCCCTATCTATTCTATCAAAACAGGCGTTTTTCAAGGGAGCATTTTTGCACTCTCCTTTACACGATAATCACTGCTGACATTCGTATCCTACCAGAATCAACCTTCTCCACTTTTGTGAGGATACAGCAATCCTTTCCACGCACAAATATCCGACCATCGCCTTCAGAAACCTTCAAGTCTGTTTGTAGTGCTTCGACATATGATCCAGCAAGTGGAAAATTAAAACAAATACAACCAAGGACCCACTTCACACTTACACATATTACACTACCACCTGTTTACTTAAACGTACCTACTTAAACCTCCGGCCGTACGTAGGACTTCGGCTAGAAAAACGACTTAGTTGAAATCCACACACAGGACGAAATCTGAACGAACTGTACATACGATCCAAATTTCTATTAAACTACAAAAAAAAAAATTATTCACAGCACGGATCTCATACTTATGTAGACTTAATGTATCAAACTTTGGGAGAAAACCAAGCATTCCAACTCCCAACGATTCCAATTTAAAGTCCTAAGAAAAATGGATAACCTCCTTTTTATGTCTTATCTCAAACCTCGCCTTCAGACTTAATGTTGATTTAGTTCCCGAGATCGCGCAATCCAATAACAAAAAATTCCATTAATCCTTCCTTCCGCGCAACCCAATGCTCAGTTTCCCTACCATCCTAAATAGAGAGAAAAGCGTGTGTGTACTGAACAACAGAGGGAAAAAGAGACAAGCCTCACACCGTCCGCCAACTAAGCCTCTCATCATTTGACAGGCCAATCAGAGGTTGGAGGCTTAAAATAAAGTGAACTGAATTGAATTTTAATAAAACTTTTTAATTGACTAATTTTTAATAAGAAAATAAAATAAATTACGCTTAGGCATAAACAATGACTAAGCGAAAAATCACTGAAGATGGCGGAAAGCCAAAATGCGTCTGACATACCAAAACGACGAGAATATACAGACCAAAATGATTACATAGTAATAAACAAGTCCATCGCCTCGTAGACTAAGTGGAAAGATTTCACAATTTATCAAATATTGTTTTAAAGGAATTTATCTATAACTCTAAATAAATTTAATTTAAAGCTTTGACATTTAAAGTAGTTCAAGCAAAAGTTTCACCAAAAAAATGTTTTGCCTTAATTTTTAAATTTGTAAATGAATTTTTCATTATAAGTATATACAATCCTTTGTTGCTTTTCAATAATTTGATTTATGTTAAAATAAACAAGTTTTCTTTAAGGTTAAATAAAAGTAAGGGTTGAAAAAAATATGACAAATTTCAAAAGCGTCTTGCATACCCTAAAAACGTGTTTTCAATTACAAACGCATCAAAATTCAAAATAATTCAACTAAAAATAAATTATTTTAACATGAATTTATTTTCAATTCATAAATGAAAGATCTTTGTTTACTTAATGAAGTGGAATAATTTAAATTTTTCGACAATGAACATCTACTTAATTCCACCCCTCTAAAAATAATATTGCAACAATTAAATTCAACTTTAATCCTATCCTAACTATATTAACAGCATAATCCCATGAAACATCTTGAAGGTTACTTTTTGTTGTTAAGAACAGTTACAACCGGTTTTCCTTTTTTATAATACGTATATATTTCGAAGTAGCCTCGTTTCCTATTCAGCATACAAAATAATTACAATATTCAAGTGCGCCTGTTATTCGCGGGTTTTTTTACAAAAAAAGAAAACCGGTTGTACTGTCGATAACAATAAAAGAAAGTAACCTTGAAGATCTTTAGAAAGAAGTAACCTTAGGAGGATTCATACTGTAAAAAATCTAGTAAAGTATTGTAATAAAAATACTTTTGCAATTGGCCATTTTTCGGTTAAAATAATTGACCCACATGAGTAGTCATTTGTCTTGGAGAACACATTATTTTGTGTGACTCGCATTCGGTCGGTTCTGCAATAAAGAAAAGCTGCAAGAGTCAATCATAAACAACACCATTGTCTCGGGCTATCATAACAGATCTTTGGTAAGAACATTTCATCAGCAGTCATTCAATAGGTAAGAATTATAACCGCCTCGGGATTGGTCGATAACTGGACTTAATAATCTCCAGACAGCATTTTTAGAAGAGAAGCAAAGAGAGTAAGTAATCTAGAAAGTGTGCGAAATGATATCCGGAATGTTGCTATTTAAATTAAGAGAGAAAGAGAGAGAGAGAGAGAGAGAGAGAGAGAGAGAGAGAAAGAGAGAATGAATGTCGTAAAAATCAAACAAATTTAGTTCTCGAACGAAGAGAGAGAAATTGATGAAAAAGATTGATTGAGATATGTTTTCAAAATTTGTTATATTATGTCTTCCGATGACTTGTTTTTATTCTGAAGATTTTCGGACAAAAGCGTAAAAAATTTTTTCGGAAGATACGGGGAAAAGTAATCTGCTCGAGAGAGAGAGAGAGAGAGAGAGAGAGAGAGAGAGAGAGAGAGATAGAGAGAGAGAGAGAGAGAGAGAGAGTGAGAGGGAGGGAGAGAGACGACAGAAGGATAGTTAGAAATTTAGTTGGATAA